CATGTATCTCTTCTTAATCTGATTTCCCCGCAGGTGGTTTGTACTTTCTAAGCAAAGGCATGGTTTCGTGGCATCCAACTGTGGCGCCGAGAAACAGGATTGATAATTTTATCTGCCCTGATTTCAGTACATAATACTTTACAACTTTAGTATCTCCAGCCCTCCGATACCCTCTGGAATATACATGATAAAGTTTTCTGTGTTCTCCAAGATCACACTGTTTTATTCCATCTAGACTTTATGATCATACATTGACCTGGCTTGACCTCTCGCAGGATGTACCTGGGACCGGTTTGGTCAAGTTTACACGCCCTGACGCTGTGCTGGTAAGGTTCAAGTGACCTAAAAAATGCACCGCCTCTACTGCAGCCACAAACCAACAACTACAATAACGATGCATGAGATTGTGGAGCTAGAATACGGTTGATACCTAGAGAGCAGGGCCAAGACGATTTCTAGATGCTCTAATATTTCCAACTTGATAAGTTCGAAGGGGGAAGAAGGAAATGTTCTTCTAGGTATCAACCTCTTCTGCCTTCAAAGATTGTCACTCAAGCCACACCTTTCACTGGACGTCAACCTGTCAGTTTCCCCCACCACCTCTCCACTAAACTGCCTGCCTACCAGAATATTTCCCCTCACTTTTTTCACTCGTTTTCTTACACACTTGTTCTCTCACTCGGCCCTCTCCTTAACCACGTTTTCTCCCCTCTTCGCCCACACTTTCCTCTCACCCTTCTTTTTTCTTCTATCAGCACCTGTGGCTCTCTACACACCCTCCCATGGCTTCAGCGCACCAATTATGTCTTGGAATGTAAACACGACTCGTTGGCACATATGTCTCCAGCACCCCTTTCTTGCACAACGGGGCTTGTCTCTGTCTTAACCACTTGTGCGTCTCTGTTTCAGAAAGGTTCCTTTTGGGTAGGGTTAATCTATGTGCGTATATGTGCGTGTGAGTATCTGTATGTGCGTGTACGTATTTCTCCGAGATCCATTCCTTCACCCCCTTTCAAACTAACAACACTTTTTGCAGGTTTTCTCTCACCCAAAGGAAAAAAAAGGGGATGGGTGTTATAAGGTCCCACGAGACAGGCTAAAAGCAACAGCTCTGTGAGAACTAATCCATGTGCACACGCCTTCGTTTCCCCCATTCCTTATGCCTTCCCCGTCCACTCCCCTCCCTCATCCCTCCCCTTTACTCCTTCCATTCAGCCCTTCCCTTCCCCTCGCTTAACACACTACAAAGCAGAAAAAGAGCCCCCTTCCCCTCCCCTCTCCCTCCCCTCCTCCTTTGCCTCAACCCCCCCCCCCCACACACACACACACACCTCCGGGTAAACACATGATCACCTCAACAGAAGTGAGTTCCGCACACGTAGATTTGTCTCCCTCTCCGTTGACGGTCCTCGGGCCTCAACTTTTGCGCGATGAGAGATTAAAATGGAAGTTCCTCTGACTGGATTAAAAAGTCGGATTCGATTAGCTGTTGTCGGTGTTGTTACGGTTCTCCTTGAAACAGAACGAGCGCAGAAGCTGTATCGCCCCCTCTCGCACAGCACTTGCACTCCCCTCTTTGCACTTATGTCTTGCCCCCTTTTCTCCCCTCTCTTCAGCACATAATGCCTCTCTCTATGCAGCACTTAACACACAGCAATTAACCATCCCTGTGCAGCACTTGACAACTCTCTGCAGCACTTTTAATACCTCTCCAAAGCACTTGATCTGATATCTCTAAAACCTTCCTCTTCTAAAGCACGGGCCTTAATTGGTGTCTAGGTGTTTGTGTGTTTTAGGTGTGAAGTGTTACCATTTTGGATGTGTTACTGGTGCTATGGCTTCCAAGGGGTTGAGAAAGCAGCCTCCTGGGAGCCATTACCTTCTGCTAATGAACAGTAAATCACGTTGTTTTTTATGACTTAGTGCATCACTGTAACTGGTCATTCGTTTGTTATTGTTTAGATTTTGAAAATGAGTATTGATATAGTGTTCTGAAGAATTATATTAATGATATGATAAGCAAAACTTTTAAAGTGGATGTACGTACACTCTGAAGATCTGCATTTTTGCACCAAAAATAAATGAAACAATTAAACAAACTCTGGTATATTCATATGCATTATCACATATCAGTGCATAATCAAAATGTGCATCACACACACACACACACACACACACACACACACACACACACACACACACACACACACACACACACACACACACACACACACACACACACACACACACTAGTTATAAAGATGCGTAAATAGACAGACGGATGATCGGATGGATGGATGGATAATAGATAGATAGCTAAATAGATGGACGGATGGATGGATGGATAAATAGATAGATAACTAGATAGATGGACGGATGGATGAATAAATAGATAGATGGCTAAATAAATGGGTGGATGGGTGGATAAATAGATAGACAGCTAGATAGATGGACGGATGGATGAATAAATAGATAGATGGCTAAATAAATGGATGGATGG